AAGAAACCTTTAATAAGGATTCAAGGTTCAAGAGGAAGATACTGTGGAGGGCCAGTGCTCAGCCACAGCTGCCTCAGGTATACATGGCTCCATGGAGATTCTCTAGTCGGTGCTTCTGCTGCTGCTTGCGAGCCTAGGGGAGAGAGGGCACAGTGGGCAGGGGCCGTCCCTGAAGGCCTGTGAGTGAGGGAATGGAGCAACTGAAAAAGGCCCCTGACATCTGCAACTGCTGAAGTGCTCATCCCTCACCAAAGTCACTGGAAGGCACCCAAAGCCAGGGAGTGTGAGGGTCTACACAGGCTTGCGGAGGTGTGGAAGGAGATAGCTACAGGGGCAAAAGGAGTCCTTTGCAACCCCGTCAACTTACCACCAGCCCCTACCTTATCTCGTCTGTGCTCTTCATAAGTGTCATCATCAGTGGGCAGCTCATGGCGGCACAGGGGGCAGGAATTGGTCTGGGAAAAGCAGGACAGTGTTCCAGTGTGGGCTTGGCCAAGATTCCTCCTCTGGTCCCAATCCCCACCCCACCCCTTCTTTGGTCCCTTAACAGTTCACAGACAGAAAGGGACTGGACTTGAGAACTGGGCCCAGGGTAGGGGCTGGGAGAAGGAAGCAGTACCTTGCTTAGCCAGGGCAGAATGCAGCTGGAGTGAAAGAAGTGATGGCAAGGCATCTCAATGGCAGTCTCCTCCTCCTCAAACTCCAAAAGACACACCGGGCACTTGTGCTCTTTGAGAAGGAGTGCTGATCAGGGGAGCTGCTGTGGGCCCCACCACCCAGCTCCCACTCCTAAAGGGCAGTGGTGCCCCAACCTGACCTGGGAAACTGAGGGACCACAGCACAGTCTGGCTTGGGATGGGAATGAGTCCCGCAGACCTGCCTTAAACAGGAATTCATGTCTCACCAGCCTGAGAACTCCTTATGATTGTCCTGGGGAGGCTCTCGACCACAGCCTTGGCAGCAGGTGGAGGCAGGTGGTGATCCCAGTCTACTACCAACCCCAAATCTTCAAAGTCCATTCTATTGAAAAGTGACCTGAGGAGGAGAAGGATGCAAGGTCAGGACCAAGTAACAACATATTTTCTCCTTGTCCCAATAATCCACTGGACATTAACAGATAATTACTATGTCTAGCTAGTAGTAATCACAGCTACCCCACAGTACTTCCTAGGCAAAAAGCAGCGTAGAAAATGGTTTACAGTTGCCATCAGCCAACCCTATCACACACACAGTTTATTCCCAGCTTGCACATGGGGCAACAGGTTCAGAGAAATTACTCAAGGCCACGCAGGAATGCCCTAATAGAGACAGATTGCAAATTGGCAGTGTCGGCTTCGCTGACTGACGTCTCTACTCACACCCACACGGCCATACCCTGACCCACCAAACCTAGACCCCGCTGCCCTCCACGCCCACCACTCTCCAGCCCCAGTCTTCCCTAGAATCCCTTGCCTGGATCCACCTTGACGATCCAAATTATTCCGAATCTCGCTGCCTGGACGACATTCCAATTAATTCAACCTGTCCCTACCCAGAATCCGCTGCCCCTGGTTATCCGCCTTCTCCAGGAAACCTCAGTCCAGGATCCTGCTACCTTGGTCCCCATCCCCAAGTGCCGACCCTCCCAGCCCCGCCCGCCCACCCACCTTGCGAGTTCTAGCAGCATGTTGGTTCGGGCCTCCTCCGTGTCCAACGGCTCGCAATTGTGTTCATCGAAATAGGATGCCATGGCTGCTCGACTGACACAGTCCTCGGAGCCCTGCTTGACTGCGGCCTCGCGGTGCTGGCCAATAAACTGGCGAGTTGGAAGAGTATTGCCAATCAGAGCATGCGGGGGGCGGACACAATGACTCGTTAAAGGGGCACAAAAGGCGGAAGTACTAATTTGGTTGCCTCTCACTGGCTCGAGTAAGTCAGGTGACTAAGGAGTACCTCCAATGACAGGAACCGAGACTAATCAGAAAACGTTTGTTTTGGAGTCGGAGGTAAGTAGGTGCTAGTAATTTGGGTCACGCCCTTAGCGCCCTGAAAAGCCAATTGTCTGGGCTGTAAGGTGTCGTCAAGCTGCCCTGAGGCTCCGAGGTCCTCGGCAATGCAGATGCTATGGCCCTGTCCCTGAGACTGAGATTCTGTGGTCCCGGGGTGAAAGCCCGGAGAATGCGAGCTTCCCGCTGTTCTGCCTTCGGCCTCCACCCCCGCCTTTAGGATGTGCCTGACACTTCGCACCCGCTGCGATGCTCTCTGGTTGATTCTGAAGCTTGAGCTTGATTCTTCCCTCACCCCCGAAAAACAAACAAAAATTTCCTGCACATTTCTTTTGTGTTAGTCACAGTAATAGAGGGTGGAGCAAATCTCCCAACCGTGGGAGGGAAGATCACTGCCGGGAATCTGGGACCTCATCTACTCAAGGGGCTATTGGTGTGACTTTCATTCAATTCATTGCTCAACCTCTCCCCTAGCTTCTATTTACTTGTCTAAAACTAGTGACTCGAATAGGCAAATGCACAATGAACAAAGTAAGTTTATTAGGGGTTACCAGAGACAGAAGGAGTTCTAGTGGTGGTCTAATTAAGATATTTGACTACTAACCAAAAGGTGAGATTTACAGCCTTTAGAAACCCAATGGGGGCTGCTACTAGAATTGACTTGATGGCAGTGAGTTTGGTTTATTTGGTGCGGTGAAATACTAAATAGGGTCCTTCTAGCTACTGGTGGTGTAGTGCCTAAAGCATTTGACTGCTAACCATAAGTCTGGTGATTCAAACCCACCAGCCACTCCTCGGAAGGAAGGTTGGGCGGGCAATCTACTTCTGTAGTGATACCCCCTCAGAAACCCAAGGAGGGGTTGCTATGAGTCAGATCTGACTCTATGGTATGGAGTTTAGTTTTTGGTTTAGCCATAGTCTTTGTAATTCACATCAAATGACTGGGTGGGACTATGAAAAAAAGGAGCTTGTGGCCCACCAAGGGGATTCCATAGCTTGCTAATAATGTACATAAATAAGGTGCATGGCACCTTTGTGGGGAGTGGGACCACGCAAATACGGTATAGAGAACCATGACTGATTAGTTTTGCCCTCTCACTAAGCTTGAAATGAACCATCCCAAAGGTGGAAAGGGGACATTAAGACCACCAAGAAAGAAGAGCTGGGAGGGTGCCCTTTGGACCTGGTATCATTGTGCTGAGAACCTCCTAGGCTGAGAAGATAGAAATTGCTGGAACACTGGAGATACTGGAGAAGGTGAGAAGCAGCAGCAGAAAAATGGCTGCAGCGAAGTGCTGATAGCTGCAGCAGAAGAACCAGGAGACCAGCAGGAGATATGCAGTGGGCTTCCTGGCCCCCAGAGCTAGGGTTGAGCACCTTTGGGCAAAGGCTACTGGTGGAGTAGGGTACCTTCAGGCATTTTTTGGCAGAGTTAAAAGAGCTTTGTAACACCTGCGCAAGCAGGGCAGAGGCTGAGGGGCCATGGGTCTGAGAAACCGAGGGTCAGAAAGAAGCCTGCCTGCAGGCAGGACTAAAAAAAAGTTATCCTGACTGAATAACTGTATCCTGAGTCATTCCTGATCCTGAATTTTAACTGTTACTTCCCTAATAAACCTTATAATTGTGAGTTTTGTCTGTCAGCTCTGTGTGGCCATTGCAACAAATTATTGAACCCAGCTGAGAAACAGAGATTAAGAAAGATGGTTGGTGTCAGAATTGTTAAAGGTTGTTGCTGTCGTTATTGTTGTTATGTGCCGTCGAGTTGGACCCGACTCATAGTGACCCTTCCTTGGGTTTCAGAGACAGTATCACTACGGAAGTAAATTGCCCCATCTTCCTGAAAGTATGTCTGACCTCCACCTCACAAAAATCAGCCTTGGGCTGCTGATTGATTTTCCTTCACTTTTGTGAACTTATGAGCTCTGGTGGGCGTAGTACCTGAGGCATTTGACTGCTAACCAGAAGGCTGGTGATTCAAACCCACCATCCACTCCACGGAAGGAAGGTTGGGCAATCTACTTCCGTAGTGATACCCCCTCAGAAACCCAAGGAGGGGTCACTGAGTCAGATCCGACTCGATGGCAGTGGGTTTTGTGAAGTTAGAAGATGCCAGATGCCTTGGCCACACTATTTTTACAGTAGCCCAAGCAGAGTTTGCCTGCTTCCACGATCCTAGTGGGGCCTCTTTCCTTCTTCCATTCCTTGTGTTCAGTGATCCTTGCTGTGGCCCTATATGACCCCTGGAGTTTTGGAAAGCTTTATTTCTTTCCTACAAGGCAAACTCCAGGCTACCCTTTATGACCTTGCATTGGAAGATCTTAGAAGCCCTCCCTGTTTTCACTGCTACCTGCCTCATAATTTGGTAGAATTGTGAGGAAGAAGGTGGGTGGAGGAATTGGGGAAGGGGAAGTGGGTTCATAGGGTGAAAAATGAGTATGAAGGTGAGGGAGGGTCTCATGCTGTAAAAATCTTTGAAGTATTTTCCTCTTTGTCATCCCATGGATTTGTCATCCAGATGGATTCTCATTGGTCTTCTGAGCATTCCCAAGATGACAGGGGAAAAAAAAAAAAAGATTCCATTCTCAGGAAAACAGGCTTGGAGAAGGAGGACTGGTTCAAGGGTCTGCTTTGGGGCCATTGTACACTCCATAAAGGTTTGTCTGTGTGGTGTTAGATAAAGGAGGAAAGGGAGAGGAAAAGGCCACCTCCCAGAATGGAGTCCTAGAAGTGTGGACTTTCTAAGCATCTCCAGTGGTGGGGATGAACTGTCCTGGGGACCTTCAGAGACACATACAAATGTACTAGCTTTTAACCAAACAGCAGCTTTTACTGAGCTCCAGGTGGGGCTGGCCTGTCATGGCCAGGGCAGTGGGCTGCTCTCAAGGGTCAATATGTGTTGTGATGGGAGATGTGGAGGTGCACACATCGGGACTGTCCTTTGAAGTTCACCAGGATAGCTCAGAAAGGAGTGAATGCCAGGGTTCTTTGGAGATCAGAACTGGCCAGTGTAGCCATTCACTTCTCCTGCAGGCCCAGCCAAGTCAGTCCCCTTGGCCCTGAGGCCATGCCTGCACCCTGGGCCTGTGGAGCACTGCTGCCTTCACCATTCTTTGGGAGAAAGATGACCAGCAGCACAATCAGAATGATAAGCAGGATACTGCTCACTGCCAGCCCCAGGTAGATCCGGCAACGGATGTTCTCGCAGCGCTTCTTCTGGGACAGGGTCTTGGTTGTCTTGCTGAAGGTGGAGCTCTGTGGACATCCCAGACATAGTGTGGGAGTTAGCAGTTCCCCCAGAGACTCAGAGCCAGCTCCTCCCAAGCTCACCCCAAGCCCTAGCAAAGCCTAGTCTCCTCCTGCTTCCTCCCCATCCTGTCTGCTCCCTTCCTCCACACAGCCTGCCTCTCAGAGCCCCTCTAAGCATGACTCCTGGCCTCAGACACTGGTATAGCCCTTGACTTGCAGCCTTACTGGCTGACCTCCAGTAAACAGTGCCAGCCTTTGACCTTTAGGAAGGCACACAGCTTCAAACTAAGGACTTCTTACTTCTTGAGGTCTACCTCAGGGGTAGAGATAAGAAGGGGGTGCCACAAGAAACCCAGAAACCCCACAGTAACCCTCAAGTAGGCCTCATATCCCACCAAGGGCCTGGAAGCCCTGCACACAGCCTAAAAGCTCCCTTGGAGGGCTCCTCCAAGCCTCCCCTTCTTTCCTTTCTTCCTCCCCAGGCCTCACACCATGTCCAGGAGTTGGTCTGACCGCTGCTCCAGCTCTGCCAGCTTCCCATCGCGCTCCAGGACCTTGTCGAAGTTGTTGAGCATGATTTCCGTCACCTCGTCCGCCTGCCGCTGGCATCGCTCCAACTCTTTCCCTGCCTGGGCACCAAGCCCAAGGTCAGGGCTGCATGAAGCCCCCCACATGGCCCTCATCTGGCCCTGAGACCTAGAGGCTCCTCACCCCCACTGTATGTGCATGCAGTGTGTGAAGAGGGGAACAATGACCTTCCTGTACATTTTTGACATATATGGGGTAAAGGGCCTACTGCGTGAGTACGGCGGCCTGCCTTTGGTCAGCATTCCCTCCCTTTGCCCATCAAGGCAGGAAGGTCAGACCTTGCTCCCAGCATCTCAGCTTCCTTTAAGTTGCCTCAGGGTGGAAACTTCCCAGGACCCCACCCTTCCACAAAGCAGATATCACCTGCTCCAGGATGGTCCCTGCCCAATGCACACCTGGTCTGTGGCTTCCCAGTGGCCTAAGGAGGTAGTAAAGGACAGGAAACTGAGCTTCTTGGCTGGAAGCCAGACAGGAAGAGATCCATCCCATTGGGTAAGAAAGGTAATTTTGGTCCAGCACAGTCACAGTCTCTGCTTACCCTCCCCACCCCCAAAACTAAGAAGCTCAGATCTCCTTCCTCAGGCTTTTGACTAGTCAGGCCAGTTCTGCCTCCTGCCTGACCCTTCTCCCCATATCCGTGTTCATGGTTAATTCCCTTTCTGTCTGGGAACTTCAGCCTTCTTGGCCTCTGGCCTCCAGCCTTCCAGTTTTCACTGGGGTCCCACTCAGAGAACAACCCTTGGGTTTCTCAGCCAGGCAGCAGCCTCACCTAACAAAAGAAGCCAGTTCATTTCAGAGGCCTAGGAAGAGAGGTGCAGGGTCCAAGCTTAGGAGACTCAGAGGACAGGAAAGAGGAAGAAAGTATAGGTCACCAGCAAGAAGGGACTGGGTTTTGAATGCATATCAGAGAGAGACCTAGGGAGGAAGCACTGGTGAGAGCTGGAGGTCCAGGAGCAAGTCCAGGGACTTTTCAGTGAAATGAATACCAGCAGATTAACAAACCACAGCAATTCCCTCCTCCCAGACTAGGCCTGCCAGTCCCCCACAGCCCATCCCTGATCCCATCTCCTCCCCACAGAACATCAGCCAAGAACCCTTTCCTGCCAGCCCACATCCCCCATTGTCTGAAGCAGACATTTTGGCACTTGACTGAATTCCACTTAAAACAAGAGAACTTCAGTGTTGGAAGGGATCTGATGGTCACAGAGGACCACCTCCCACCCAGGCAGACATCTCTCTTGAGGATCTTTGCAGCTGCCTTGCACACAGCCTCCAAGCATTCCTAGTGTATGAGTCCTCTCTCCCTAAATGGACCACAAGCTGTCAGAGGGAGGGCAGGGACCAGTCCCCTACTTCCATCCTCTACCATCCCAGGGTCCCAGGAGGTCAGTAAAGTGCTGACCACTGCAAGATCTCAGTGAACAGGTCAACTACATTATAGCTTATTGTGGTGCGGTGAACTTGATATGGCCCTTCTGGCCACAGTCTTTGTGATGCCCACTAAATGACTGATTGGCTCTATGCAAATGAGGTGCTTCTGGCCCATCAAGGAGATTGAATAGCTTGTTAATAATGTAAATAAGGTGCATGGCATTGTGGGGGTAAAAAAACCAAAACCAAACTCACCGCTATGGAGTAGCAACCCCTTCTTGGGTTTCCAAGGGGGTATCACTACGGAAGTAGATTGTCCAACCTTGCTTCCGAGGAGTGGCTGGTGGGTGTGAACCACCAGCCTTCTGCTTAGCAGTCAAATGCCTTAGGCACTATGCTACCAGAGCTCCTATTGTGGGGGTGGAACCATGCAAATAAAGTGTATGGAACCCTAACAAGAGGATTGATCAGTTTTACCATATTGCTAGATAGGCTTAAAATGAAAGAGCTCTGCTGGTGTAGTGGGTGATGTATTTTGTGCTTAAGGCACTTTACTGCTAACCAGAAGGCTGGCGGTTCAAACCCACCAGCCACTCCTCAGAAGGAAAGTTGGGCAATCTACTTCCGTAGTGATACTGCCTCAGAAACCCAAGGAGGGGTCGCTATCAGTCAGGTCCGACTCTAGGGCACATAACAACAACAACAACCAGAAAAGTCAGCGGTTCTAACCCACCATGTGCTCCTCGGGAGGAAGATGAGGCAATCTACTTCCATAAAGATATACAGCCTTGGAAACCCAATGGGGGTCACTATTAGAATAAACTCAATAGCAGTGGGTTTAGTTTTTGGTATTTTTAGACTTAAAATGAGCCACCAAGAAGAGACCAGAGCAGAGCATTGTCCTTTGGACCTGGGATCCCTGTACTGAGAACCTCCTAAACCCAGGACAGGAGACAGCAAGAGGTAGGGGCTGGCCATGACCATGTATAGGGTTGGCAGACAATATTTCTACAAGTGTATTTGTATGTTCTGTAAGAATATCCAGGTATATAGTAGAGCTGACAAGGGACAAGGTTGTAGTCATTTCTTGGCCATAGCCAGTTACCCGGAAGGAGTGAGTATTTGGACCTGTGGGCTCAGAACCATGGTTGCAGGGGACATCAAGCTCAATTGGCATAACATACTACACAAAACATTGTTCCACCTCCTACTTTGGCGAGTAGCAACTGGGATCTTAGAAGCTTGTAAGCAGTCATCTGGATGCAATGATGGGTCTCTCCTCATCCAGAGCAAAGAAGAATGAAGAACACCAAAGATGCATGGAAACAATTAGTCCAAGGGACTGGTACACCATGTGATCATCAGCCTATATGACTATGAGACCAGAAGAACTAGATGGTGCCTGGCTACCACTGTCAACCACTCGGAGGGGGATTTCTGTAGGGGATCCTGGATAGAGTGGGAAAACCATGTGGAACAAAACTCAATATTATTTAAAGGAAAAAAAAAAAACAGTCTTCCTGTTCTGATGGAGCTCGGTGAAACCCATGAGACTATGCCCCTAGCTGCCCTTCAGGTCTGGAATTGAACTCAGTCCTATGGCTTCCAGCCAAATAAAAGACCAGCATACGAGCTGAACATTTACATCAGGTAGATACACTCCTTGGAGAGATCAATCATGGGAGAACAGAAGGCCAGTGTACACACAGGGAGACAGCTGGTGGGGGGGCAGGGGTACATGGGTGGGAAGGGCACAGGGAAGAGGTAATTATGGGGAGGAAGTGGGAAGAGAGCTGTTGCATTGTGGGAAATTGCAATCAATGTCATGAGACAGTGTATGTGAACTGCTGTATTGAAAATGAATTTTCTCTGTAAACTTTCACGCAAATCACGATACAATTTAAAGAAAAAAAGAAAAAGTGGCAGAAAAATGGTCACAGCATAACCAGGAGACTGGCAGGAGATGCCGTGGTGGGTTTCCCAGCCCACGGGGCAAAAAAGCTGAGCATTTTTGAGCAGGAGGCTCATTGGCAAAGGAGGTGTCTCCAGGCATTCGGTAGAGCTAGATTTGCCAACCTATGGAGCTAGAGCTGAACATTTTCGTCAGGCCAAGTGTTACTGGTGGAATGGGGTGCTGCTAGGCTGAGAGAGCTTTGTAACCTTTGTAACACTTGCCCAAGGACAGGCCAAGGGGCTCAGGGCCAGGGCCAGGGCCAGAGAGAGACCTGCCTGTGGGCACAGCTGAGGAGAGACTGTCCTGACTAAAGAACTGTATCCTGAGTCATTTCTGGTCCTAAATTGTAAGCTGTTGACAAGGGACAAGGTTGTGGTGACTTCTTGGCCACAGCCAGCTACCCTAAGGGAGGACATAGTTGAACCTGTGGGCTTGGGACCATGGTCACAGGGGACATCAAGCTCAATTGGCATACTACACAAAAACATTGTTTTACATCCTGCTCCGGTGAGTAGCACCTGGAGTCTTAAAAGCTTGCAAGTGGCCATCTAGATGCAATGATGGGTCTCTCCTCATCCACAGCAAAAAAGAATGAAGAAAACCAAAGATGCATGGAAACAATTAGTCCAAGGGACTGGTAGACCATGCGATCCTCAGCCTATATGACCATGAGACCAGAAGAACTAGATGGTACCCAGCTGCCACTGTCAACCACTCGGAGGGGGATCAGTGCAGGAGATCCCGGATAGAGTGGGAGAACAATGTGGAACAAAACTCAAAATCATTAAAAAAAAAAAAAAAAAAAAGTCTTCCTGGTCTGATAGAGCCTGGTGAGACCCTTGAGACTATGGCCCCTAGTTACCCTTCAGGTCTAGAACTGAACTCACTCCTGTGGCATCCAGCCAAATAACAGACAGGAATATGGGGTGAACATTTACCTCAGGTAGATAAACTCTTTGGCGCAATCAATTGTGGGAGAACAGAAGGGCAGTGTTTGCACAGGGAGACAGCTTGGGGAATGGGAGTGCATGGGAGAGAAGGACACAGGGAAGAGATAACTATGGGGAGGAAGTGGGAAGAGAGCAATGTTTACATTGTGGGGAATTGCTGTCAATGTCATGAAATAAAATGTGTATGAACTGCGTATGGAAAATGAATTTGCTCTATAAACTTTTACACAAATCACAATAATAATAATAATAATGTAAGCTGTTACTTCCCTAAAAAACCCCATAACTGTAACTATGGTTTATGAGTTTTGTGTGGCCACTGCAAGGAATTACCAAACCCAGCAGAGGAAGTAGACTGCCATGGGAGGATCAGTTGGTGTCAGAATTGGTGAAAAGGTTGGAGGGTGAAGGCATGTCTGACTCCTGCCTCATGAGAATCAGCTTTGTGTTTCCGATACTGAAAATGATTCTCTCTCCCTTTCATGAAGTTAAAGGAGGTCACGCACCTCCCTGCCATTTTTACACTTACCCAAAAGCAACTCTCCTTCTCCAGAAATATTATCCCAGTATGTTTATCTAGCCCAGCAGGAGTTTAGAGGGGCAGGTTCAGTAACCCAAATATATCAATATTTACCCATGAGCTCAGAAAGCAACCTGCTTAGAGAGGGGACAGGCAAACCACTTCAGGAGCGTGTGCTCACAGGCTAGGGGAACTAACTGGGGAACAAGAAGGAATGATGAAGAGAGCAGCAAAGCTGTATTCTTCTCTACCTTTTCCTGAGTCAAAGAGCCCTGGTGGCACAGTGGTTGA